CCCCAAAACCCCAAAACCCCAAAACCCCGGCCTAAAAGTTTTAAATTGGGTCAATTTTATTAGAAAAATGTGTTTTAGAGTAAATAAGGCTTTCTGTAGAAATGATTGGATTGCTTGGGTTCAAACATTATCAAAAGGTAAGCAAAGTCTTAAAATCCAAGATTTATAACGAGATGATCAAGCAAGTGAGTGGCTCATTGTCATAGTATTCTCTTTCCATCCAATTTTTTGTTAACTATTGACTTGGTGAATCTACTGAGTAAGTATGTCATTAGCAGATTTGATTCAAAGACAAATGAAAAGATGGGTTTTCTTTGTTTACTCTTGCTACTTAAGTATGATCACTAAGCCACCTAACTGATTCCAAGTTCTAGATAACCCTTGAGCCAGTTCAGAACTCTTATGGAATGATAAGCAAACTATAGACAATTTATTTGTTCCTCATTTCTCTTTGATTTCATAATTAGTTTTTAAGATTTTTATGAAAGACCCAGTCATGATCTAGCTTCAAGAGCGTTTTAAACTAGGTTATACTACTTAATGAAGCAAATTCAAAGGAAATCATGCAAACAGCAAAAACAATGGAGAAGTTTCATCATGACACTTAAGAAACGAGACCAATTCCAGGTCAAGATTTCCCTTGTGCAAACAACTGGGTGTCTATCACGAGTCAATTTTTTTGAAAAGCTTCTTATAGTCCAAATTTTACTGCCTTTCTATCCTAGATTGTCTATCTACTTCATAAAAAAGATGATTTCTGGTCAGAAGAAGCAGTAATCTTTCTTTCAAACTCTTCCTGTTTTCATCGACAGATCATTTAGACTCGCCCAAATAGAGAACCATTTTCTTTGTAATCTTCAGCTACCCAGAACTTGACACAGAGGATGCCAGATTTTAGGCGAATGCATATGTATACTCTCTTTGATATTTCTCGGGTTTGAGAGCAACTCAAAAGACAGAGAAAGAGTTCTTGAATGATATTCTGAACACATAGACTTCATCCATAGTCAGACATTTGGTTGCTTACACTGCCATAAGAGATATTTAAACCTACATTGAGTAGTAACATGAAATGATCGATTTTGATCCTGACAACAGAATTTAGATCCTCAATTTGCTCTCAATAAAATTCTGTAACTTTTGTGGTTTATTAACTCAATGGTATAGCCACTAAAGAAGCAGTCTTTTATTTTTTGAGTAATCTTAGGATCTTGATGCTTTGATGAGGAAACCGTAGTCTTATTAGTCAGATTTCTAATTTTATCATCTTGAAAGATCTTGAGAGAGTAGCATAATGAAAAGTAGACAGTAAAATGATGTAAACCAAGGATAAGAACCCAATTTTGGATGAGAGAGTAAAGCAGTATCAAAAATTACTAAGTTATGCTTCCTCTTCAATTCTAATACTTTTGTTTAAGTAACTTCCCGGCCTCCACAGTCATGGCTAACCCAAGAGGCTACTTACATCACATAGATGCTCTCACTTTGTTCTTGAACAAGGACCACTAAGCTTATGGTACTTGAGTCCAAGGAGGATCTCTTAGTCCATTCTCTTATCAATGACTAGGGCTAGGATCTCTCCCCAGTGAAATCAGGGGTTTGCTCCATTCGACATTTCCAGTGAGAAATAGAGCTTGATCGTGTCCAGAGTCTTCACATGAATTTTAGACATGAGCTTTAGAAGGATCTGTAAGTGAGCCAAATGAAATCATTAGACGTGTCCTAGGGGGGGTTTTGGGGTTTTGGGGTTTTGGGG